GAGAACTCAGGGTCTTCCTATACCGATACTAAGCTGTGTGACCTTGGGAAAAATTCCCTCCCCTCCAGGGTCTTCTATCCTTTTCTGTAAAATGAGGGCACAGGATGAAATCAGCAGTTTTCAAATTTCCCTTTCACTTCTTAAACTCTGGAACCAGATTTTAAAACATGACCACTCTGAGAAACACTGAGCTTCTCTAGTGGAGCTGAGGCAGTATGGGCCCAAGCCCTGTCTATGGGCTGCTGGGCTGAAAGACCTTCAAAATTTTTTCTCTCTCTAATAGTCCAGAGCACTACAAATGGCTGACAGGTCCCCACAGGCACATGTATGCCTGGCTTTCAGTACTGACATGCAGGCAACAGGTAGTTTGATGAACATGAATATGACATGGATATCTGCACATGTTTCCTCAGCTGCTTTCCTGACTCAGCCTCTGCCCTGTAGCCCAAGCCTGTGTTTCATTCTGCGCCCACCCAGCCAATCAAGCCCGTATGTATTATGCTCCTACTATGTGCCAAGCACTGTAGCAGTCCTTGCAGATGCCGAAGTGAATGTGATCCCTGCTCTTGTCTAACAGGGTGTATTACAGTAAGGGCCTAGATCAACAAGCAGCCAATTAGCATACCTTGTGACCACTTCTAGGACTGGGGACATGCAGATAGTTATGGGAACCAGTGGAGGGGGCCCAGCCCTGGCTCAGGGAACTGCAGGAGAGCTCCTGGAGAAGTCTAAGCTGAGACTGAACATAAAGAGGTGCTAGGGAAGTGAGGGAGAGAAAGAAGAAAACTATTCCAGGCAGTGGGAAACAGCATGTGCAAAGGTTCAGAGGCAAAGGTATCCTTGTTTTTTAGATTTACCAACATATTTGACTGTATACAGTCCCTAGATCCACGTTGGGCTAATTTCAGGGCCGATACCTGTTTTTTCAATGAAGAACTTTCATGATCTGATTTATATGCCTTGTCTGACTCAGCTTCTATGAAAAGAAGCCAGGATCCAGCCAGAAATTAAGACTCAGATCAGTGCTGCTTCCTGAGGTGAGTCCTGTTCTATGGCCAGAGCTATCCAGAATTTAAGAAGTTTGGGATCGGTCTTGCAATGTTGTGCTGAATGTGCTGTGGTCTAGGCATAAAGACATCTTTTCACACCAGGGGCAGGATTGGATAATCTGGCTGTGAGGATAGAGCCTTGTGAGACAGGAGTCAGAGGGAACAGGCAGGTGAGAAAGAAGAGCCCACACCAGGCCTCTATGTGAACCAGTTAAGGACTATTTATGGCCAAGGGTGGGAAGTGCCTTCGCTGGGCACACAGTGCCCATCATCACCCACTGACTTAGCACATTCAGAACTGCCTTGCAATGTCTCCTCAGGGGCCTAAGCTGTCTTCAACAGAACAGTCAATTTCCCTTAAAAAAAAAAAAAAAGCTATAAGCCTCTGCCCTGGGCAATAAGTCAAGAGGAAAAGCCCGCTGGCCAAACACCCAGCAAGAGGGACACGATGGCCAGTCTTCTTGATGGGGGCAGCAGGGTGAGGCTTGGGCACAGCTTCTACCTGTGCCCTGCTAGGCAACGCGTACCAGTGAGTGCTTCTCCACCAGAGCTGGAAGAATATCCAGAGGGGTTTTCAGCAGGACCCAGAAGGTGGGAAGAGTGGCCCTTGTCCACTTCTGAGCCCATTCTGCTGGCTTCTTGCTGGCCACACTGCTCTTTGTGGAGAATTGCTGCAGCCGTTTGTCCCTTACTACATCATTATTGCCTTTCGGTTCTTTTGGGTCCAAACACCAAACACAAGGGGGCGCCATACAGCCACCCAAACACAGGCAAGACCTTGAGCAATTCAGCTTTGTCCTCATTTTCCAGAACTTTCTCTGCTGTGCCCAACCGAGGCTGAGGTATTTGTGCCAGAACCTATATATCTGGAAGCAAGGTTTCTTACAGGTGGAAGTTCTTCACCCCCAGTAGGGTAGCAGGTTTAAAAAAACAAATAGTGTTTTTTGGGTGGCATAAATAGGTATTATGCCTTTTTTAAAAAAAGAATCAACTTTATTTCTTCTATATAAGCTGTGTAGGCTATTGTCCTAAATTATCCTGAAGAACTGACTCAGCATCCTTAGAAACACAAACCCTCAGGAATCCTCCTGAAATGTTATTTACCATATTAGTAAGCACTGTAATGCAGGGAAAGATATATTCACATTTCTGGTCCCTAAACTGAAATTCTCTGGGGCTTTATTTTATTTTATTGACTTCCAAATGACTGTGTTACTGTGGAAAGGGCTTGGGCTGATTCTTGTCCTGACTCTGCCTGTTTTAATCTTACCATTTGAGAAAGTGTGTGTGTGTTTTTCCCCCCAACCTTAGAGGTTTTATCTATTGAATGGAGCTTAACAAAACTTTTTGTTATGCATGCTGCTGACTTACAACAACTACTCTAAGAAGATAGGGGAATGAAGATGGAGAAGCATTTGGTTAGATGAAAATCTTGTTATAAAGTTTTTCTATATTTTTAATATACACATGGTTAAATGTTATGACCCAAGCTCGGCTGTAGGACTAGGGTAGTGTTTCTCAAACATGGGTGTGGATCAGAATCACTTGGGGGGATTATTAAAACACAGACTACTGAACACAATGCCCTGAGTTTATGAATCAGTAAATCTGAGATGCAACCAATACTTTGTGTTTCTAAGAAGTTTCCAGATGGTGCTAACGCTGCTAGTCTAAGGCCACACATTAAGAAGCACTGGTTTAGGCTGGGCAATGGAAAATTTAAGTGAATAATTCCTCATATTACCCTTCCCCCAACCTTCTTCTTAGGACAGGAATATTGTTTGTATATTATGGTTTTCATTTTCTATCAATTAAATAAATATGGACCAAGTGTCTACCATGACTCAGATACAAAGCACTGGTGATAAAACCTTGAACAAGACAAGAATATTGGTCCTCAAGAAACTTAGAAACTTTTGGAGGGTACAATTAGATAAATTGGGAGCCACCAGGTTTAAGGGAGATGCACCTTGAAAGAGGTAAGTCCTGGTGCTTGGGGAGCCCATAAGTGGTCGTGGAAGCTGCAAGGAAGAACAACTAGGAGGTAACCAGGTAAAGAAGTTTTCACAAGGGAGAAAAAAAATCCATGCATAAGGTCTTTGTGCTTTCAAGAAATTTAAAGACATTTACTGTGGCTCTAAGACAGGTAGGAAGGAGGGTTTGGCAGCAGATTAGAGATGGCCCCTATGGTTTGAGGTTTGGAGCTGAGTGTCTGTAATGGAAGGCCTTTTGTCTTTTCTGTGTCTGGTGTGGGGGCGTGGACTCCTCTGAGTGAGTCACCACCAAACACCCAGAAGTGGGTGACGGCTTCCTTCCTGACCTGGCCCCCACTGTGCTGACCACCTCTCCATGCAGCTGCAGACAGGGTGGGTCTTGAGGTCGGAAGCCAAAAATGAGTAGGAGCCCCCTGGTTGGGTGGGAGGTGGGGTATAGAGGGAAAGGTGTGACCCAGGAAGAGGACTGAAGCCTCATAAGCAAAGGCCCTTTGCATGTCTGGAGGATCCTGGTTGGGGAGTAGGGCGGGTGTGGGGGAGGACGACAAGAGCGCCTGGCCGGATGCGAGTAGGTTCTTGAGTGTGAAGGTAATCAGATGAATAAATGCAAGCTTTCCCAGGGTCAGAGAGGGCTTATTCCACAGTCAAGGGATTTGGAACTCTGGAAAGCTCCAAGTGAAGCTTGCTGTCCAAATCTGTACCCTTTGGAAAAGAGACAATTTGGAGAGGTCTTAGGACGTTCCTTGGTAATTTCTTTTTTTTTTTTTGAATTGGATCTGAAGAGTAGGGATGTTAGAAGGAAGAGAGGATCATTTCCAACTCTTGTTGCACGCACCAATATCCAAGCACTTAAGATGTGAGAAGGCCAGGACCAGTGGCTCAAGCCTGTAATCCCAGCACTTTGCAAGGCAAGAGGATTGCCTGGGAACAGGGATTCAAGACCTGCCTGGGCAACTTAGTAAGACCTCGTCTCTATAATAAATCAAAAAATTAGCTGGGGGTGGTGGCTCCTGCCTGTAGTTCTAGCTAGTTGGAGGGCTGAGGTGGAAGGATTGCCTGAGCCTAGCAGATCAAGGCTGCGGTGGCCGTGAGCATGCCACTGCACTCCAGCCTGGGCAATAGAATGAGATTCCAACTCAAAAAACAAAAAACAAAAAAACAAGATGTGAGGATACTTTTCCTGTGACCACCATAGTCCTGTGCACAAGTCCCTGTCATAGCACTGACTGCATTGAACAGTAACAGTATCTGTTTAGGTCCCCCTATGAGTTACTCAAGGACAGGGGCCCTGTCTTTGTCTAGCCAGCATCTGACAAAGAGTTTATTTGTACTTTAGGAGACACAAGTGACAGAAAATGCTTTATGTTGTGATGGTTATTGCAAGGATTCCCAGGTTTCTCCACTGTGGAACTCCCAAATTCCATACTCTAGTACTTTCCGTTTTCTCCTTCTGCTTGACTCCTGGCAACTCTGCGCAGTTCTGAAGCTATAATGGTTCAATGTGTTGTTCTCCAAAAATATCTGCTTAACTACCTGGGGTTTTGTTTTAGTTCTAAAAAGTGTCAAGATGAGTTTGAGCCTTGGCCGGGCTATAGTGAGAGGTGCAGTGGCTGCTTTGGGTGCCCTTCAAATTATACCATGCTAATCATGGCATGCTAATCAACCTCAGCCTGGTGTCATTCCTTTCCCTGCAGGTCGCTTGTAGGTCTAACATCTCCCTCTGCAACCACTCAACTGTTTCCCTTGCCTTGGCACCTTTCTGAAGTAAAGGCCAGGGCCTGTGCCTCAAAGTTCTCCTGAAGAAAGGGTCCGGGACTATGGAATCCCAGTGTCCCAAGTCTGCACACCAGATCACTCCAGCATCCATGAGGTTGTGGGTTATGTGGACACATTAGACTCTTGAACTAGGATGAAAGGGGCTGGTATGCTGAAAGATGGCATTCTGCATCTGCTGTTATCCCCAACTTGCTGTGTGACCCCCTTGGCATCTCTGTGCCTTACTTGTCCTTCTAAGGGAAGCTGGAGGTG